TGTGTGAGTACTTGTGTACAGGTATGTGTGAGTACTTGTGTACAGGTATGTGTGAGTACTTGTGTACAGGTGTGTGTGAGTACTTGTGTACAGGTGTGTGTGAGTACTTGTGTACAGGTGTGTGTGAGTACTTGTGTACAGGTATGTGTGAGTACTTGTGTACAGGTGTGTGGGAGTACTTGTGTACAGGTGTGTGGGAGTACTTGTGTACAGGTGTGTGGGAGTACTTGTGTACAGGTGTGTGGGAGTACTTGTGTACAAGTGTGTGTGTTTGAGTGGGGGGAATAAGTATTTGATACTCTGCTGATTTTGCAAGTGTTCCCACCTACAAAGAATGGAAGGTCTGTCATTTTGATCGTAGGTACACTTCACCTGTGAGAGACAGAATGTAAATAAAAACTGATAAATAATCACATTGAATAATAAATGATTCATTTGCTTTTTATTTAATGAAATAAGTATTTGATGACCTACCAACCAGCAAGATTTCTGTCTCTCACAGACCTATAATAATAATAATAATAATTTTATTTTAAAAAGCGCCTTTCAGGACACCCAAGGACACTTTACAGTAAGAACAAAGATCAACAGGAATAAAGAATATAAAATACATAAAGAATATAAAATACATAATATAAAATACATAAAGAATATAAAATACATAGAGCAAAGTTAAGGATAAGCGAGTCTAAAGAGATGTGTTTTCAGAGCAGTCTTGAATAGAGAAAGAGAGGTGGTGTTTCTTAAGTCAGGGGGTAGAGAGTTCCAGAGATGAGGAGCAGAGCAGGTGAAGGCCCTGCTCCCCATGGTGGAGAGGCGGGCAGAGGGTACATGGAGGTGTAGTGAAGAGGAGGATCTGAGAGAGCGAGAGGGGATGGAGATGTGTAGGAGGTCAGATAGGTACGGAGGGGCAAGGTTGTGGATAGCTTTGAAAGTGAAGAAGAATTTTGAAGACGATGCGTGATTTAATCAGGAGCCAGTGGAGCTGCTGTAGGACTGGAGTGATGTGGTTATAGGAGGAGGTTTGAGTGATGACACGGGCAGCTGAGTTCTGGACCAGTTGCAGCTTCTGGAGAGATTTGTTGGGGAGGCCATAAAGAAGGGAGTTACAGTAGTCAATCCGAGAAGTCACAAGACTGTGAACAAGGATGGCTGTGGAGCAGGGTGTGAGAGAAGGGTGGAGACGGTTAATATTTCACAGATGGAATTAGGCAGACCGAGTGACGTTGTTGATGTGTGAAGTGAAGGAGAGAGTGGTGTCGAGGATGACACCAAGACTCTTGACCTGAGGCGAGGGGGATAGCAGAGAGTTGTTAAGGGGAATGAGAAGATTTTCTGATTTTGAAAGAGAGTTTTTGGTACCGACAAGAATGATTTCTGTTTTGTTACTGTTTAGTTGTAGAAAATTGTTAGAAAACCAGTGATTTAGCTCATTGAGACAGTCGGTGAGGATGGAGGGTGGGTGGGTGGAGTTTGGTTTTGTTGATAGGTAGAGCTGTGTGTCATCAGCATAACAGTGAAAATGGACACCAAATTTACGTAAGATGTGACCTAGAGGAAGGAGGTAAATGATGAAGAGGAGGGGTCCGAGGACAGAGCCTTGGGGGACACCTGTGGAGATGGAGGAAGACTGGGAACGAAAGGATTTGAGCTGAATGAATTGAGTGCAGTCAGAGAGATGAGATTTGAACCAGTCTAACGGAGTACCTGAGATGCCAATGGAGGTTAGTCTGTTGAGGAGGATAGAATGACAGATTGTGTCGAAGGCAGAACTTAGATCCAGTAAAATGAGGATAGACAGAAGAGCAGAGTCAGCAGCAAGAAGAAGGTCATTAGTTATTTTTATTAGAGCTGTTTCGGTGCTATGGTGGGGGCAAAAACCAGATTGAAACTCTTCATAAATGTTATTGTTGGATAGGTGAGAGTGAAGTTGACTAGCAACGGCTTTTTCAAGAACTTTGGAAATAAAGGGCAGATTAGAGATTGGACAAAGATTACTGAAGTTGGTAAAGTCAAGACCTGGTTTCTTGATGGGGGTGATGGCCGCAGATTTGAAAGCTGTGGGAACAATGCCAGAGGTTAGGGAGGAGTGGATGATGTTAGTGATGATGGGGAGCAGAGACGGGAGACAGGATTTAACAAGAACTGTGGGAAATGGATCGAGCTGACAGGATGAGGACTTAGACTTGCTGATAATGTCAGCAATGTCATCAGCAGAGGGGAGGGAGAAGACAGAGAAGGGGAGGGAGGGAGGGGGGAGTTCAACATAGATACTGGGGGCGGTATTAGGTCCAAGGTGTTTATGGATTGAAATAATCTTTTCATTGAAATAAGACATCAGAGAGTTGCAAAATTCTGTGGAAACCATGTGAGAGGGTAATGAGTTAGGAGATGAGACTGAACGGTTAAGGAGAGAGAACAAAGTCTTTGAAGTGCCAACAGTGGAACTGATGATGTCAGAGAAGTAGCTGGATTTGGCTTGAGAAATACTGTCCTTATACTGGATGACGTGGTTCGCATAGAGTTCCTTGTGAATTGAGAGACCGGATTTCTTATAGAGTCGCTCCAACCTCCGACCTTTGGATTTCAGAGAACGGAGTTCTGGAGTGAACCAGGGTGCAGAGTTGGAGAAGGAGACAGACCGGGTTTTCAGAGGAGCGACAGAGTTAAGGATGTTGGTGAGGCTGTTATTGTAGAATGTGACAAGGTCATCTGGGTTAAAAGAATTAAAGGTGAAGAAGGTATTATTTATATGAGACAAAAGAATGTCACGTTTGATATTCTTAATATTACGGAAGGAAAGAGTGCGTTGAGGTTTCTCTGAAGAAAATTTAAGATTGACACTGAATGAGATCATGAGGTGATCAGTAAATGGAAGTTCATCAGAAGAACAGTTAAGAGGAGAGAGTCCAGAGCAGCATACTAAGTCCAAAGTGTGGCCCTTTATGTGGGTTTGAAAGTTAATGAACTGCTGGAAGCCACAGCTGTCGAGGCAGGATGTGAAGACTCTGGTGAGGGGGTTGTTGTCCATCCATATGAATGTTGAAGTCTCCAAGCAGAATAATGTTGGGTGAAAGAGCTGAGAGATGGGCGATTAGAGTAGCAAAGTCATTTATAAAAGAGTTGTTGATTTTGGGCGGACTGTAGAAAGTGGCAACAATGGTGGGGGTAGGGCCGGAGAGTAGACACACAGTGTGCTCAAAGGAGGGAGAGGGAGGTGTGTGAACCGGTGTGACCTTCCAGTTCTCGCGGTGAATTATTGCGAGACCTCCTCCGCGGCCGGACTCGCGGGATTTGGCGATGTAAACAAACCCCGGTGGGGTAGATTCATTCAGGTGGAAAAAGTCATTTTGTTGTTGCCACGTTCTGTTAGACAAATAAAATCTAGTTTACGGTCGGATATTAAGTCTTGAATAAGCTGACCTTTGCCAGTGAGTGAGCGAACGTTCAGAAGGCCAAACTTTACGGAGGAGGGGTTGGTAGCGACTGGAGCATTAGCCGACCGAGCAAGGCTAGCTAACATGCTACTACTGTTAGCGGCCCGAGTATTACGACGTGTAGAATGGTGAGAGTCAGACCAGGTGGAGTTTATGGGGTTAGACTAGTCAGTGTGGAGTCTACGGCGGGAGCCACGGTGAATGTATCTTCGGCGAGGATGGAAGGCAATGTCCTGAAGAGGGAGCACAGGTGGCACGGCTGGTAGGAAACGAAGGCGAAGGAGCTCGACCGCTGAGTAATGGAGAAGGCCAGACGCCGGGTGGTGGTGGATGAGCAGCAGGAGAGTCCAAAGCAGAGCAGGCAGCAGGTAAATCCTAATGAACTGCATGGCTGATATTGAGACGGATCAGAGACTTGGTCTAGTGGAAAAGGCAGGAAGGACTGAATAAAACAGAAAAAAAGCACGACGAGCAGCGGCAACCAGGAAGTGCCAGCATTTGCTCACCGGAAGGAAGACCTGTTAGTTTGTCTTTAAGAACTCCTCCTGTTCTGCACTCAGT